GCCGGCGGGTCTGCTCGGTATGGGAATACATAGCACAGGTTCACAAAAAATTCATTCAGCGATAGAATTGAACAGAAGATTTCGATACTTGTCATTACTCAACGAATAAAAACACTTTGGGCATGTGAAACTGGTATTTGCAAGTATAATTTGGTCACAACGCTGTGAGAACACTGTTGATGAACTAAGGCTATGCGGGTGTGAAGCTATGTGAGTCAGTATCCATATCAGACGTCGCGTGGCGTCTAGGTTAACCTAGTTTATAAACAAACCGCATTTGAAAAACTGAAACTAGCATATTCATAGTGCAATAACGTAATTATTATCTATTTAATATGAGCATCATCTTCCGAGAGCGGAGTCAGCACGTCGCCGTCGATGTTTCTTTCCATGACAACTGCATATACAGGGTGTTCATTTGAAAACCTCCCAGCACGGATTTATGGAAAAAAGATTTGTTAAGGGGGACGACTTTTCAAGCAAAACTAACTACTTCACCATTCTCGTGAAAATTTTAAATCACAAGGGGTATCGAGTAACAGCTTGTTTAAGAGGTCTTTCGAAGTTCTTTATTTTGACGGTTGATTTTTTTAAATCAAACGATCCGTTTTCGAGAAAATTAGAAAAATCTTTAATCCTAATTTGTTCAGATAGAAAACAAAAACACACGAAAATATAACTTTTTATTTCAGTAAGAGTTCAAAATGTTGCCCGTTAGGGTTTTCCAAATCTACAATTCGTTTATAATTTAAAACGGTAAGTACCAACAACCTGATTTTTTCCGCATTCTTTTCATCAACACAGATATCCTGGGCGAACTGTATTTATTGTTATACCTGTTTAGTTATTTGCTGCTAAGGAAAAGAAAGAATTCAATTTGCTGTCAGTTACCTTTGTGACAATCTTGGGATAGTGAAAATTAATTTATTGATTCAGATTTTACTTCCAAAATGTGTTCATGGGTTGTAGCACTCCTAGTTCAAAAAAAACTGAAAACACTAAGAACGTACACTACTCAAAAAAATTAAGGAAGCAAGAAAAAATCAAATGTTTCAGTAACTTTTGACTGGTTGTTTTTCGATGAGAAATGGTCGTAATTAGACTTTGAAAAAAGCATTCAGATTCTAGTTTTCAGATGTTTTAACCGAAAAATTTTAGGAGCAACGTAACAGTGCAAGGAAAAATGTTCTGGCTTCAAAAAACGGTTTCTCCGGATATATTGGTCGAAGTTTGACAGAAATCAAACGAGCAAAATTTATGTATAAAAAAATCCTGTAATCTGGTTGAAAATGGAAAAATCATTTTTCATCTTCTGTAGTCACTATTGGATGTCTGTAACACCTTCAATTTTCAAAATAGCAATTAGAAAAATGTTGCGTATCTATGGAATATTCCAAAAAACAAAAATACTAACTAGGAGCGGATCTAGAAAATATTCAGCCGAAATGAATAGGATCCGACAATGAATGTGCATCATTTTCAAACTTTAAGCATCAATCCAGAGAAACCGTACAATGGATCGATCTGCCGTCGTTATTAGTTGTACATTGAGGTACAAAAATCATTAGCCTTATCATTAGCAGTTCTAAGAATGCGGCCGATTTTTCAAAACAAGGCAAAAAATATGTTTTTCCCGTTTGAAAATCAAAGGAAACAAAAAGATGTTTTCCTCAAAGATTGCAACCAAATCTTATGGGAGATTTCTTCCAGTTTTCGTGAATACATTACATTCTCTGTGGGATCACTAGTTACCGAGATATCACCCCAAATGATCATATCTAGATTTTAAAAAGATGATATTGAGGCTGGATAAGCAGGCTATCTGATCACTATGATAGCCTGACAGAAAAAAAATTGTTCAAGCTCGAGTACTAAAAAGAAAGCAAACATGTTTCAAAAAATTTCTCTTGCGCTATCTGTTAAAATTGCGTGATACTGTTACTCCTAAAAAGTTTCGTCTAAAAAAGCAAAACATCTTGAAAATGCCTTTTTTAAAGTCTACATATGACCATTTTCACCGAAATACAGCCTGTCAAAAATGACGGAAAATTTTAATTTTTTTTTTTGCTCCGTTAATTTGTTTGAGTAGTGTACCTTTTTTTGCATGCAAAATATTAATATTCCGTCGAAATAAGAATTTCGAAAAACACCTAACTGTACAAGCTGCAGTTTTAGTTAGAGCAATTATCCCATAATATTTACATTGCATATCTAGTTCTAAAGTGGCAGTAATTCCACTTTTACATCTGGAATTAGTATAACAACTTACATAAAAAATAGTTGGCAGTTTTTTTAATCATCCTATTAGAGTTGTGGTAGATACCGAGTAGATGCCTTCACAACTTTTTAGAAATAATCAAAGAAAGATTTTAGTCACAGGTCCATTAGAACAGAAATATTACAAAGGTGTGATATTGCTGGACATTCATATATGTACTACATATATTTTTGCTACATTGTCGAGAATTGCTTAGGCTTACGATAAATAGATGCAAACCTTTCTACATGTCTTTTAGACAAAACTTGAAAATCCTTAGAGCGCTAAGATTAAAGCTTATTTTGTTATGTGTACAAGGAGCAACGAAAAAAATGCAATCCATTTTTTGTCACTCATTGTACACACTGTATTGCCCAAATTTCACTTCACAAAGATTTCAGTGGTCAGCGTAACTGAAATACTGTCTTGATTCGAAAGTATTGCTTTTTAGTTACTTTCAAGGAAAATAGTTCACCACAGGACATGGATATTCCAAAAAGAATAATGAGGTTGCAAAGCGAGTAACATGTTTCGATCCACAAAGAAAAAATAGCTCCAAGTATCATCAGTCAGTGATATGTTCGGCACAAGTTAATCCCTCTGAGAATAAAAGTTTGCTACAAACATGTATAATAAAAAAATTGGGTGGATCAAGTCAGTCAATTGGTGTTGAAGATATTTCTCTATAATTCTAAATTTTAAGGTCAAATGTACGAAGTGTGTGGAATATGTCTAATATATAAATATGAATCAAAACTATAATTCCACGACCTGGCATGACAGGCCATATCTCAGACTGGGCTAAAGAGCTACGAGGCTTTGCGAAATTTCAGGGTCCTAAGTCGTACGGTTCAGTCTGGAAAATGCCATATGTGACTATTGCGGAGTAACATTGTCCAAAATTGACTTCAAATTGTGATCTGACAATTTGTTCGGCACATATAAGTCAAAAATTATATTTTCCAAATTTTTCATTATTCTCTTGGACTAATAATACGAACAATTTTGGCATTGTAATATTTTTTCTTTTCATCTCGTAGAATCACTCCCAGTAATCATAAACTTTTGATAACTGTAACCTGTTTTTAATTTGGAGCCCTTGAACGTTTGCAAGAACCAAAGTGTTGGATTTTTCCTTTTATAAATTGTTGTCTTGGCTGTAGCTTCTTTCATGCAAACTTGCTGGAGTAGTTCGGGAGCATCACACTTCGTGTGCATACAACTCTCAATTCAAAAGCGCTGGAAAGCACCTTAGTTCGAGATTGTTGGAGCATTGAGATGTTGCAGAGCTCAAAGTAATTTCACCATTTGTCAGAAAACTATAGGGTGTCTCAAACCCGAATCATTTTGAAGAAACATTCTAATCATAATAATAAGCTGATTTTCAACACTGCTTTTCATATGTTTGAATTCATTTCTATGCATACAAGTTTTTAAATGGGTAAATAGCTAAATTATCCATATAGTAATATAACGAATATTTCCAGACATCTCCATCAGGCAGGGGAACTCATCGTATGGCCCAGCGCTTTTACTTATCCTTGGATAGAGCCAACGTAAGGCTGCTGGTGGGACTGTTGGCCGGCCATAACACGTTGAGGCACCACCTGCACGTAATGGAGGTGGCTGAGAATCCCTTGTGTGTGCGCTGCGGGGAAGAGGAAGAGACCTTGGCGCACGTTCTGTGTCGCTGCGAGGCTCCGAGCTACTACAGGCAGACTATACTGGGGGAAAGTTAAGGAGCCGGCACTCAAGGCCATACTCAACTTTTCTACAAGGGCAAGGCATGTCGCAGTTGGGGAGACAGACTGTTTGGTGTGGGTTTTTGGTGGTGTGGATTTTGGTCAGACGGCGTCATTGGACCGTATATGTTCCGAAACGAGATGGCGAGACGGTTAGTGCCAACGGCGCCCGGTATCGGGCCATGATAACTGATATTTTATTGCCTCAATTGGATGAGATGGACCTGAACGACATGTGGTTCCAACAAGGCTGAGCAATGTGTTTTTTCTACACATCGGCCATTACATTGCAGTTGTTACAAGAAAAGTTTACAGGACACGTTATTTCCAAAATAGGAAGAAGCGATGTGGACTGGCCGCCAAGATCGTGCGACTTAATGCCCTTAGACTTGTTTTTCTAGGGTTACGTTAAGTCGCTGGTTTACGGCAACAAACGAACAACAATTCACCAACTGGAGAACAACCTCATTCAAACCATTGGTGAGATCCAGCCCGACTTATGCAGCAGAGTTTTACAAAATTGAACCTCTCGGATTGTGTCCTGTAAACGAAGCCACGGAGGCCATTTGAATGATGACACATTTAATGAAAACTCCTTTATGAAGAGTATCTGCAGACAACCCCGTCAGACACGGGAACTCAGCGTATGGCCCATCGCTAATGATGAACGCTTTTGCGTACCCTTGGATAAAGCCAACCTAAGGTTGCTGGTGGGACTGTCTGGCCATAACACGTTGAGGCGCTACCTGCACGTGATGGAGGTGGCTGAGGATGCGAGGATTCCTTGTGTGTGCGCTGCGGGGTAGAGGAAGAGATCTCGCGAGGCTCTGAGCTACTACAGTCAGACTATACTCGGGTCCATCACTTTGCACCCCCAGAACAATAAGGAGCCGGGACTCAAGGCCATACTGAACTTTGCTATACTCATTCATTAATTCAATATAGTTATGATCGTAATTCACAAATCGCAAAAATAAATTATAAGAAAGAATAAAACAGCATAAACAAAAAAAAATTTTATTGTTAAAAGTATATAATACCTATGGATCTGTTTGTCTGCTAAAACCGCTGATAATGCCTTTTCCAAGAAGGTGAAAATCCTCTAGCACGGCATCAAAATTGAATTCAATTTTATCTTGCACCAATTTGCCTGCATTCACAGTGGATACCTTGAAATCTTTCTTTTCATAAGCGATCGGATTCCAAAGAACTCCTATTACATTGCCACCATGCGTATTATGAAAAAACGTTACGTATTTCCCATAGTTCTGCCTTAAAGTATCTAGATACTTCTTCACAGAATCAAAATTAACTATAGGAATTTTGTCGTCTTCCGATTTTTTATACTTCTCGATGACGATTCTATCTTCGACTTGACCAAATACCAGTTCCTCGTATCTTCTTGAATTCATTTCTGGATTCAGATGCATCAAGACATTGTAACCTTCTAAGTTGGGTGTGAACAACTGCTGAATGTTCACAGAAGATCCTGCATCCAAAGAACCTCTTAAAAATCTGAAACATAAACCCAATGTTAATATTGCAGTACCAAAAAAGAAAATCCGGAATATATTGAAGATCTCCGCCTGATTAGCGACATACCATGTGATTATTAACCTACCCCAGACTCTCTCTAGCGAGTTGTCGTACTCTGAAAAGCACTTCCCTAGTAGGAGTTTTCTTAGTGAATACCGACAATCCTCGATCGTATGGTGTTATTATGTACAGAGACGGATATGCCGAACGATTTTGCTGTAACGTAGCTTCGATAGTCGCCACTTCATCATTGGTAATGTCGTCGTTAAAATTTGCCACGATAGGCTGCAACTCCCAGTCGAAGTCGCTGAAGAATTTCAAAAATCTGTAAAGATGAATATTCATAATCAGAAGCTTCAAATATAGAAAGGGAAGTTGTGATATAATATTTTGTTTTCATGTTAAAGAATTCCGCATAGAACGGTTTATGGAATAAAAAAAACAACACTGATTCAACCACACTCGCACCCTCTATTGTCAGTATGGTGATTATTCTCGATTTTGACAATCCAAAAAAATCCTAGTCAAGATTCAAAAACATATTGTTACTGGGATAACATGTAAAAAGGATAGTTTTCTATTAAAGTTTAATTCGTTGCTATTAAACAATACACATTCATAATCGATTTCTGGTTACATGTGCTTGCAATTATAATTCTTCAGTAGTATCTCTTCAACATTTTTCTATTTGAACTGTGGAGATCCAAAGCTCTGTTTCAATGCTATAAATATACAGCTACGCACAATCAAAAATACCTACCAGTGTTGTGAAGCTGTACTACTTCACCACTTTTACACATACTAGCTAGACTGAAAACAACAGTTGCCCTGGTATTTTTGTCACTTTTGACTATTTACATTCAACAATGTATCAAACGGTGATACCACTAAACGTTTTTAATAGAGTTAGTAGGAAAAGCTTTCTTCAGATGGCGCTCAAAGCAGGGTACAAAGACATGTGTACTACTTATATCCTCCTGACCAAATTCATCACTGACATTAAACAGATGTTATAGGACACTTGTGATAGATATCTCTATATTTCGGTCCATTTACACGAACGTTCCAATTTTCATTGTCAAAAAATAGGTAACGTTCCACAAAGATGATACGGTATCTGTCTTTGGAGTGCACAGGCCAAACCGGTATGTCCAAACGCGAAAAGTCACAGTTTTGGAGTGGCGTGTTAGATTTCTGCCAGTTGAAGGGTCCAGATTCACGCGTTGGATTTATATAATTGGCGACTACGCGCCAAAACTGCTGAAAAAAACCGTACGTGTAAACTGATCTATTCCAGTGCTTTCACACACGTTTATAATCAAATCCATACTAATGGGATATTTCGACATGGAGCTCCAATTTATGTTGGAATGTCGCAGGAAGGTTGTAATGATATAAAAAATATTATTTGTCTCAGAAACATGTGGTCATGATAGAAATAGTGGAAAATTTGTGTCTTCAATACCTTCGGCAGGTGTTGGGGGACTCTTAAAGAACGTTTTGCGCAAAGCAGTCAGGGAATTTTTATTTGAAATGAGATGGTCACCTATCATCTGCGGCAGCAGCCATAATACTTGAATATAACCATAAAGTTCTGGTCATAAGCAAGAGTGCCGTCGCTAGCGCTGATTCGTGAATTGAGTACGTTCCGCTTCAAGTGACTTCTAACACCCGTCTATTAATTAAACATTATATTACCTGAAAAACGCAATTTGCGGTGTGTTACTCTGCTCTCCGCTCCTGTTGAGAAACAATGCAGCATTGACCAGATCAACAACAATGTCCGGAAATAGAAAATCATCAATCAGCTGCGACCTCAACCATCGTTTGACCAGGCAGCAACCGGGGCCGAAGCTTGGATGTACCGCTTGCACCCCTTTTAAAGCTCCTATAATCTTAGGGAGTATCACTAGTCGTCGCTCCACGAGGTCGCTCTGGGCAGATGCCTTCCAACACTTCAGGCCTGACTCTGTCATGGTACGTTTCATCAGCGCCAGCTCTTTGGGGATGTACAGGAAGTATCTGAATACCACTCCTAAAACATAAACATTTTTCATAATTACGTATATATGTTGAAAAAAATTAGTTCATGTTATTTTTACAAAAAAAAATACCTGTAGACTGTAAATGCTAGAGGTACATTATGTATAAATAAACTTGCTACAAGAGATGAAATGAATCACAAACAAACCAATTATCCAAAGACTATTTCTATGTAAAATTTATCATAGATCAAGTCATTAATGAGTAAATAAATATTGATATTTATTACTTACGATATTACAGGGAACATACATAATGCTCAAAAATATATATGCACAAAATTATTTTTTGCTAGATACTTATCTGGCGCTAATCATAAAAAACACAACAGTTCAAGCATGATTTAGTGGCAAGCGCAACTATACGAGTGTGCAGATTCAACTTTTATAATATATAATAGCAGAACACTCAAAAACAACTTACATGAAATAAATTTCCCATTTTAAAACCTACCTTCATGGAAAACATCGATAAATTCTGTCGTAATATTGGTGAGCAGTCCGTGCTCCTTATGTAGACTCCTCCCAATCTCCAAATAGAAAGCTGTTTTATAGTGTCGCAATGCCTCTAGATCGTTTGGCCATTTTGAACTGTGCTCCAACTGTAAAACGGATTCAACAGTCGCACAGAAACGCGGCGTAGATGGCAAATTATCATTTGCGAACACGATATTTTTCATTTTTACTGTTGTGCCTTCTTCTACCTGTCATAAAAAAATACATTTCTTCATCTGTTGGGCCTTGTGTTATAATGCGAAAATAATTTTTTTTCAAAACTCTTATACAGTTCTCATTACGTGGATCCGTGGTTCCAGACTTGTCAACTGCCATGCATGAATGGTTACATTCAATTGCACAGCTTGAATGAAATCATTCTCTAGAAATTGAGTTAACCGAATCATTTAAATATTTGGGCATTAATGTAGATAGTTAATTAAAATTTGAAAGACACTATTAATACATTATTTCAAAAATATCCAAAGATAATTACTTCTATAGAATTTCGCATAGTCTAAGTGTTTATTCACAAAATTTATTCGACTATTTTGTTCACTGCAAACGAAACTATATATTCAAATTTACAAATATCACAAAATAAAGCTATTAGAATCATCTTAAATAAAAATAAATATACTAGAATAAATTTTATTCTGACAGAGCTACAATGGTTGAATATTATATATTTCATAGCATACTTGGTTTTCATTTTAAAGTTAAAAAATCATCTACCAAGTCATTTAAAAAATTCCAATGAATTGAAGAATGAGTACAATAGTTTTATTTACAAAATTGTAGTAGTAATATAAAAAAAACAAATCAGTATTTCAAAAAGGATTGTACGAATTTAATAAATTAAGTAATGATACCGAGATATGTGTCAGTTTGAGAATGTTCAAAGAGAAATTGAAAAATATCTCATGGACAGCCAGAACTCATAGTATTAATTTTGTATAAAAATATGTAGATTTGAAGACATAAAATATGTGATATACTGTGTAACATACAACAAACAAACTTTCTCTCAGTGACTCTACTGCCTCGTTTTCAGGAATAGGTGTAATATAATCAATGTTGAAGAAAAGGTACATACTACGAACATCATAATTTCGCCAAAATTTGCCTAACAAACAAGGTTAAAAATCGGTAGAAAATAAAATAACCTTCGCGGTCTTGTCGAGATTGTAACTTTAATTTAGATACTTGAGGACCTCAAAAATTATAATTTTCAACTGAGTTTTTACTCATTGAATATACACATTTTTGTACACTAAATAGCTTGTAACTCTAAAATAATCGACTTCTGAGAAAAATAACTGGAGGCATTTCTTGTTCGTAATATTCAAATAAAGCTAAATAAAATTTGTCCGGGTGAAAAAAATAACAGGATTTGTGATTTATAAAAAAAAATATGTTCAAAAAAAACACTCAACAAACGTGATTATGAATAAAAAAACGTGTTGAAAGATCATCTAACATCCCAGCATTAGTTCAAAAATAATCACTGAATATTGTGGAAGTCTTTAATACTGCAGGTCAGTTTGGAATAAGTAAGTGTAGCTGACAAACAAATTTTCCATATTTTCCTTAAATTTTCATCAGTCTATCATGCATATAAATTCGCCCACCACAATCTGGCAATGTAGCACTGCTCCCAAGGGTAAAAATGGGTATAAAAAAGCGGAGATAGTCCGAGCCGACGGTAAATGTTTCGTTACATCGCGTACTGAGACGATACGATATAAACTAGTAAAATCTTAAGTATTTTGTTGCAAACATGCTTCGGTATACCTTTGAGGGCAGTGTGACGTTGCCGTATTGTGGCAGGCGAGGAGGCTAATAATGTTATTTGTAGCTTTAGAGGAAAATTCAAGGAAAAGGTAGATGATACGTTTGTCAGCTACAATTAGTTATTCTAAACTGATCAATTAGTGATTTCACGAGACACAGATTCTTGAACAGATGGAATACTAGGCGAGACTAAAATCTCCAATTTGCGAGAAAACTTTTCCAACTCGATTTTTTTTCCATAATCACGTTTGTTGAATATCTCTGAGGGAAATGGTAGCGACTCGGACGAAGATGGAATCCTGAACCGAGTCCGAGAACTCCTCCGTGGAAGCGGAGATGAAGGCGGCTGTGACAGCGAAGACTGCGGCGGCGACGGCGGTACGCCCGAATAGGGGTTACATACCGTCATTCGGGAAGGTGTAGGAAGGACCTCTCAACACCCATGGTAAGTCTTAATTTCATCCAAATTAACTTACAACACTGCATAGCGGCTTCGAGGGCCTTTACTCAGGAGATCACTCGAGGCCGACATGACGTGGCTCTCATCAAGGAACCCTGGCTGAGAAACGGTTCAGTAAACGGACTTAGTATACCGGGCTATACGCTTTTTAGCGATACTCCGGACACTAAGCCCAGAGCTTGCGTAATGACTTCCGTCAACTCATGGCAACTTAAAGAATTTACATTCAGAGACTTAGTTGCAGTCAGAATTAGATATAAGAAGGAAGGCAGTGACAGGGACTTGGTTGTATGTTCGGCTTACCTTCCTTACGATTCAAGAGACCCTCCTCCGTCTAAGGAAATGGGGGACCTTGTCGCATTCTGTAGGGATTCTGGACTCGACCTTGTGATTGGATGCGACAGTAATGCCCATCACGTTACGTGGGGCAGCTCGAACACCAACAGACGGGGCGAAGACCTGATGGAGTTTCTAGGGGCATCGAACCTTGAGGTTCTGAATGTCGGTAACATGCCCACTTTCAGCAATAGTGTAAGAGAAGAGGTTATCGACGTAACACTGAGCACGCTTAACTTAGCTCAGGACATCAGGGACTGGAAAGTGTCTCTAACACCCTCTCTATCGGATCACAGGTATATACTGTTCAAGACTGATGATTCCGGATAAATATGCTCGGAATCCCAGGCATACTAGATGGGGGTCCTTTAGGGCAGACATTGACAGTAAGCTTGAAGCGGTCCCATACAGGCTTGGCAGGGGCTCTGACATAGAAGCAGCTGTCGAGTCTCTGAGCAGGGACTTGACGGCTGCATATGAGGAAAACTGCCCGTTACGCAAAGTCCAAGGTAAGGGCAAGGCAACCTTCTGGACCAAAGATTTAGAGGATAGAAAACGAGCGGTGCACAAACTTCTTAGCAGAGTTAAGCACAGGAGAGGTTCTCCTCTATGGGAAGAATACAAAAAGATAGATATACTCGTACTGGCCCGAAGGATTTTCGACCGATTACTCTTTCATCTTTTGTGCTTAAGACCCTGGAAAGGATAGTTGATAGTTACCTAAGGGATGGCCCGCTGGAAAGGTGTGTCATTCATGCAAATCAGTTTGCATACCAAGCTGGAAAATCGACTGATCTGGCCTTACACAATCTGGTCGGGAGGCTGGAGAAGACTCTAGATCAGCGAGAAGTGGCACTCGTGGCCTTCCTGGACATTGAAGGTGCATTTAATTGCACCACAACCGACTCTATCAGACAGGCCTTGGTTAGACATGGGGTTGGATCAATCCTAATAGATTGGGTCCTCTCTACTCTGGAGGGTCGGGTAACAACAGCTATGCTGAATAACGTAAGCTGCAGCGTGAACGTAGCTAGAGGCTGCCCTCAGGGAGGAGTTCTGTCACCCCTACTGTGGTGTATCGTGGTGAACGAACTCCTCGTTAGGCTCAGCAGTATGGGTGTCTATGCGCAAGCCTATGCTGATGACGTAAGCATAGTGGTTAGGGGGCGTTTCTGCAGAACAGTCTCGGAAATTATGCAGGGCGCTCTGCGCTCCGTGGAATCGTGGTGTAGGGAAGTCGATCTTTCTGTTAATGCTGAAAAGACCGAGCTGATCCTATTCACTAGGAGAAGAAGGCTTGACGGACTGGTCATGCCGACCTTCTTTAGGACTAGATTAGTTTTGTCCCAGTCAGTGAAATATCTGGGAATTATCCTGGACTGCAAACTGAACTGGAGAGAGCATGTGGAACACAAGGTTAGCAAGGCTCGCAATTCGATGTGGGCTTGTAGACGTGTTGTCGGTGTAAGGTGGGGGCTTAAACCCAAAGTGGTATACTGGCTCTACACGACGATAGTACGTCCATCTCTCTTGTTCGGCTCCCTGGTCTGATGGCCTTGCATTAGAACTGAGTCAACTAAGGCCAAACTCAATAAAATTCAGCGTTTGGCCTGTATTAGCATTACAAGCGCAGTGCGAACAACGCCATTGAGTGCAATGGAAGCTCTGTTGGATCTCCCACCGTTGGATCTGGTGATCCGCGGTGAAGCGAGAGTAGTCGCTCATCGACTGTGGAGTCAGGGCAGCTGGGCTTTCTTGAATCCGGTCAAGGGGCATACTGCCATCTTAGTCGAATTAGAAAGGGAGGACCCCGTCCTTCTAAGCAGGGGTGATCGTATTACCCCTAAATATCGCTTCAACCGCAAGTTTATTGTGGAGTATCCAACGAGGGAGGAGTGGGACGCCGGTAGCCGAGGACTCTCCGAAGTGAGCGGGCAGGTCTGGTACACGGACGGCTCGGTCACCGAAGAGGGCTCAGGTGCTGGGGTCTCTGGGCCTAGAACTAGGCTATCTCTGCCTCTCGGTGAATACACCACCATTTTCCAGGCGGAAATCTTTGCGATTCTGGCTTGTGTATCTCACATTCTGGAGGAGGGTGGGCCTAGGAGAAGAATAACAATCTTATCCGACAGCCAGGCTGCAATGAAAGCACTCAGTGCCTGTAAGATTACTTCGAGTCTTGTATTGCAATGCAGGGAGGCTCTGGATTGCCTCGCAGCGAGGCATCCGGTATCGTTAATATGGGTACCGGGGCACGCTGGGATAAGGGGCAATGAGACGGCGGACATTCTGGCGAAAACAGGATCAGCCAGCAAGCTCGTTGGTCCTGAGCCAGCTCTAGGAGTAACCGCGCACAAAGCTAGAAGGAAAATGGAGACGTGGGTTGCAAGACAACACTCTCAGAAATGGAGAAGTATCTCTAGACATCTCCGCCAGGCACGAGAGCTCATTGAAGGGCCCAGTGCTAAGGATGGACGCTTCTGCCTATCTCTGGGTAGAGCCAACCTAAGGTTGCTGGTGGGACTGTTGTCTGGCCATAACACGTTAAGGCGGCACCTGCACGTGATGGGGGTGGCTGAGGATCCCTTGTGCGAACGCTGCGGAGTAGAGGAAGAGACC